GTTTGAAGCGAAAGTCTCAAAGACCGTCAATACCCTGAGGTCGTCGCCTTCCGGGGGGTGTTGCTCTGAGGTATTTTTGGTGAGGATATCCTCGCCAATCTTGGCCACTTACCGAAGTATCCAACATGATCTAAGGCCGTGGGTAGGTATGGTATCCGGTGCTTTGTGTATTTTGCATGGCCTATCGAGCCATCCCTCTAGAACAGTGCTGCGCCCCGTAATGGGTTTAGATTTCTTTATTGCTGTGTCGGACGCCCCGTGAGGGTGCATCCTTTTTGCCCGGACGAAGGGTTGCATGGAAACGGGTGGTTCCCAGTGAGTTGCCTGAGTTTTCCAGGTACTTTCCGTTGCGCGGTACTTCTGTACTATGGTTGCCAAGTCCGCGAAGTGTAACACGTGATGGCGGTTGATGGCGTTGAGGATTCCTTCGTCCATACAATTATTGCGGAATATTGAGAGCGCGTCTTCGTCGCGGCAATCTTTAATCTTGTCCTTGACAAGGAGGAATATGTCCCAAAAGTGATGGACTGTTTCCTGAGACTGCTGCCGTAGATATGTGAGATCGCGTATATCTGGGTGGGTGGGTGGATTTAAATCCGAATCCTGACCCAATTTGGGATCCGGAGTTTGAGAAATTTCCGACTTGATAGTTCGGGCTCTGGGAGATCGATCGATTTTTCAGGTCTACCGTCTGATTCCGGGCTTGGAGAGCAAGGCATGCCGTTCCGCGGACAGGTATCCGGCTCTTGGAGCTCGGAGATCCGAACATAGTTCGTCCTTAGTATAGAGGGAGACTTGTTGTTTTGCTCCTCTACTAGCGCTATCTAATGGGTGATCGGTGGAGATTTGATTTCTCTCTGGTCGGGTTTAAGCCCAATCCGATCGTAGTCTGTAGCGACCCCCAAGGCGGCGATGCGATCCAGGAGTTCGTTCGAGGACGACAATTCCGTTGGATCCATCCGTTTGGAGTATTCGGAGTCAATTCGAAGGCGATTTTCGATGACCCGAGAAGTCATCATCGGCTCACCGGCCGAACGGGCGGTCATGATGAAGCCACCCAGCCGGAGGGTTTGGCCTGGGGCCAGAGCTCCTTCGGCGGTGATATTGCCCTTGATCACAAGGTGAGCCATCAACCCTGACTTCGACGTCACAGTGGAACTCTCAATGAAAGCACCAATGTCGGTGTCAAAATCGGCGGATCTCGGGTAGGGGGTCCCGAACTATGCGTCTAAGGTTGATGGTAACAGGAGACAGGGGACACGATGTTTACCCAAGTTCGGGCCCTGTTGATGGAGGTAAAACCCTACATCCTGCTTGATTCATATCGATGAGTATATGGGTTACAAGAGTTGATCTACCATGAGATCGTAATGGCTAAAACCCTAGAAGTCTAGCCTATGTGATTATGATTGTTTCTACAGACTAAAACCCTCTGATTTATATAGACATTGGAGGATACTAGGGTTATACAAAGTCGGTTACAGAGAAAGGAATCTTCATATTCGAACGCCAAGCTTGCCATCCACGCCAAGGAGAGTCCCATCAGGAGACAGGTGAAAGTCTTCGGTCTTGTATCTTCATAGCCCATCAGTCTGGCCCATGTCCAACAGGCCGGACGCCCGAGGACCCCTTAGTCCAAGACTCCCTCAACGATGACGCCATGCTCGTCGTGGCCGTGGCTCCGAGCAGCAATCTCCTCGAAGGCGCGGAGCTGGCGCTCCATCTCCAGCGGGACGTAGTCCTCCCGCGCCCACTTGAGGGCGGCCTCGTCGTTGGCGGCCATGTCCACGCGATCCTTCTTCACGGCCCCGGCTCCGTCTTCGGCTTGACGAGGCGGGAGGAGGGAGCAGAGGGGCCCCGTCCTCGCCGGGCTCGGGCTTGACGTTGGCGAGCGCCAATGAACTGGAAGAGCGAGAGGAGGAGGAGGAAGAGGACCCGCCCGTCATGCGCCTCAGCAACCAAGGGCTGCCGCTCCGGTGGGGGTCCGGGGACGGGGCCATCGGGTACTCGAGCGGCGGCTCGTTGCCGCCCTCGAGGTGCTCGAGGACGGCGTGGAGCATGCGCCCGAGGCGCCCCACCATAGGCGACGGCTGTCGGTGTTGTGGCGCCCCCTCACCGGCGCGTTGTTGGTGGAGGCGAGCTGCTCCTCGTGGCGGCATTGGAAGTACGCCGCCCAGTACGTGTGATTGCTGGCGGCATACTCCGGGAGGCCCCGCACCTCCTCCGGCAGGGAGGCCCGAATACGCGCGATCTCGGCATGGAAGCGGTCAGCTTCGGTCGGCTGCAGGGGGACGGGGACGCCTCCGGCACTGAGCCTCCACCGCCCCGGCACGCGCATGTCAGGCAGCACCGGGTAGTTCGCCTCCTACAGAAGGTAGGCCTCCCACTCGTGCAGGTGGTGGCGGCCGAAGTCGTTGGCTACCGCTCCATCGCCGGGGAATCGCTCTCCCATTGGCTATAGTCAATGTTGGGGATATCGCTTATCGGGAACTTATCGGTCGACCCATGATAAGGGGTAAATCGGCCAGTTTATCGGCATATCGGTCGATTTATCGCCATATCGGCTGATTTATCGGCCAATTTATCTTATCCGTCTGACAGCGGTAAGCGATAAATCGGCCGATTTATCGGCATACCGGAAGATATCTTGAACAGTGGCTATAGTAGACGCGGTGGATGTAGACGGGGAGAGAGAGAGACGAGATGGGGGTGTCGGCGGCAAGAGAGGGACTGCGGGCGAAGGAGAGTGTGTCCACCGGCGAGGTAGGGGCGGCTTTTATAGCCGGCGAGCGGGCGACAGACGTGTGTACGCGTGGCGGGAGGGGGCGGGGCACGTGTCGCGGCGGCATCACTGCGCCGCCTGTGAGGAATCAATGGAAGGCTACCGCCGGTCAGCCTTCGCATTGATTCCCCGCGGGAAACCGAAGCGATGAGGACGACAAACACGCGCGGGTGGGTCGCTGACTCGGTGGGCTCGCCAGGTTTTCGCGCCAAAACTGTTTTCTCCAGCGCCCCGGGCGCCCCCAGCACGTCGGGTTCGGCCTGGGTTCGCCAGCATTAAATTCGGCCCTAATTGACGGAAAATGGGCTTCTGGGGGTGCGACTGAGCCGATTTTTCGACGCTAGCGATAAAAAAGGCCTTGGGGGGCTTGTTAGGGACTTGGCTGGAGATGTTATAACTCTATCTTATTGGAATAAATTAGTATTGATCTCGCAAAAAAAATTACTGAAGAAAGAATGAATGGGTGTTTGTTTCGAGGGACTTTTGGTAGAAAAAGTCTCTTTAACCAAACAGGAGGGACTACTAGGGATTAAAAGTTGCCTTTTGGGACTAAATGAAGAAGACTCTCGAGGAGAGTCTTTTTTAGGACTTTTCCAACAATGCCCCTCCATGCACCCATTTGCCCGCCGTCCCATGGTGCTGTTTGGTTGTTATTTTTCTGTATACTAGGGGTAACATGGTCATTTAATAACCTCTAAGAAGGGATTAAGGACTTTTTAGTCCCTGGAAACAAACAGAGAGGGACGTTTTAGAGACTAAGAACTTTTTAGTTGGGACTAGAAAATTTTTTAGGACTAAGAGGGTGTTTGTTTCCAGGGACTTATTGGTTTAGGGACTTAAAAAAGTCCCTATAAGTCCCACCTAAACCAAACACAAGGGATTTATTGGGACTTATTGTGGTGATTTGGGACTTATCAAATAAGACTCTCAGGGAGGAGCTTATTGGGATTTATCCCGAGCCGGACCTACCCCGCGTCGCTCCAGACTCGTTCCCCGCACGCCGCCTGCCTCTCGGTCCAATTGCCGCCGCCGCCCGGCCTCTCGCCCCGTCGCCGCCCCGCCTCTCGCCCCGTCGCCGCCCCGCCTCGGTTCGCTCTGCCTCGGTTCTGTCTGCCTCAGTTCGTTGCAGCGGTGCCTCCAATCGCTGGACAAGCCCTCTCCTGAGCCTCGTTGCAGCGGTGCAACATGGACTTATAAGTCCCTGTAAACAAACAGGTAGGGATTCAGGACTTATAAGTCCCTGTAAACAAACAGGTAGGGACTCATGACTTATAAGTTGAGACTTAAAAAAGTCCTAAGACTTATGAAACAAATAGGGCATAAGACTTTTTAGTTGGGACTAGAAAAAGTCATAGGACTTATACATCAAACAGGGCCTGAATACACTTGTTGCCCAAAGACGCCTGCCACCACACATGGCCTGGTTACGCAATCGGAAGTGAACCTCACTATCGATACTGCTGCTTTGGGGATCTTCGGTGCGGCGAAGCAAGGCTAGCAAGAGGAGGACGGAAGAGGATACAGCCCACGCTCCATTCCTCTTCCTCCTGGCAAAATATCCGCACGAGTCCTACCGCGTGCGGCGGCCGGAAGGAATTCGCTCGGATTGAGCGCTCCACCGCTGGGATCCCGCCGTTGTTCGCGCGAGAATCCACCTCTACCGGGTCTGCGATCCTCGGATCGCGGCTTCCCGTCACATCTTGACCGAGGAATTTCTGTGGAGCCGCCGTGGAGTCACCGGAGGCTTCTTCTGCGGTGTCCAGGGCGGCTGGGTCCTGTCGCGTTCGGGGTTGATGCGCGGCGTCTCCGGCGCCACTGCTGCGACGTTCGGCGAGACTGGTGCTTCAGATCGCGGAGCCGGCCCGGGGTTGTCCTTCCACTTGCTGTGGCTGTGGTTGGGGATCGGTGGTGGGGAGTAAAGCCTGGGGAGTGAGCAGATGGAAGAGGACTGTACTTTACTATTTTCGCTACCACTTGGATTTCGCTCCAGTTAGAGAGTAGATTAGCCTTATCTTGCTTGCCGATCAGAGCTTATAGTGGTCTTGTCGTGTTCGCCGGAGCAGGTTCTTGGTGGTTTTGGGGAGCAGTCGCTTAATTGCTGCAAGCAGAAGCATAATCGGGAGTTGGTTTGTCTGAGGAACCAGTCTGTGTGTGGTAACTTGAGCCGTGGAATCGCGCAAATCCAGCTTTGCAGGGTTGCTGCAGCTGGATATGGTGCATGCGAAGAATCTGGAGAGCTTGTTCGATTGCTTTGCGTCACACAATGTCTCGGTGCTTCCCATTCCCGCCTCCCGGGTATGAGGCAAAGCCCAGGAGTGAGCATAAGGATCTGCTAAAGAAGGTTCATGCTTTTACCTTTAAAATCACTTGCAAATAAGGCTGCACTTTATGCTTCACACAACTAGGCGGTGCTAGACTAACTATACAGTCGGTGAGAGGATGAACATGCCTGAAATGAGAAGGGACTTGTCCTGCTGTTTGCGGGTTAAGATGTACTGAATCATCTTCATCTATTGCAAATAGAGAGTGGATGTTGATATATTCTTGTTAGTGAGGTTATTTTCTTGTGTAGAGACTGTTTGCCATTTTGTGTGCGTGTTTTTGAAATATTGTCTGTATCTAGCAGGAGTCGCAGCTACAGTATTTAGATTATTTTCTTGTTCTTTGCTTACAAGGAAGGTGGCCATAAGTTCGTATGTAGTGAAGCAACTTATATAGCATTCCATGATACTATGGAACTAGCTCACATATTTGCAAAATGTTCGAGGCTTAATTAATTATAAAGAGGGGGAGAACATTTGCTTATTTAAAGATTAGAAAAGCCTATATATTTTTTATTGCTAGCAGACATGTTCCTTTTACTGTCACAAAACATAAAACAGGAAAAGACCAGCCCTACAGTATTTCTCTTTATATTTGCCCCTTTGTAATCTAGGTTGGGAATTTGGGATGGGTGGTTATTTTTTAGAGCAACACTATTTCCTGCCTTAGAAGGACAGCCTATCCTCACGATAGTTCATATCCTTCAGTTATGCTGGATCATTAAGATATTCACTAACTAATCTTTATACCGTGAATCCGTGATCTACAAAATACCCATATGTTCAAATTTCATGTTGCCCTTGCTGAAATTGTTTCTCTAGCCTCTACTACTATGAAAATGGCTACCCTGCTAATATGGCAAGACTTGGATATCCACTTTTTACTATCTTATAATGCTTTGTACTAACTATTAATGCACGTTCCTACTATTCTTGTATTACCTAGAGTACATGGGTATAAAGTGTAAATGTTTTCTTGGAGACGTTGGTCTACTTGAAGTATGCTTTCCTTGTGATCCATCTCTAGAATTATTCGTCCACACGGAACTTAAATCCTGGCTTAGATCAATGCAATATATCCTCGATCATCAAGCTTGGTGTAACATATATGGCTGATTATCTGTGCATGTAACATGATGGTGTTTGATAGAAAACAGCAGTGAGGTCTTGATTTTATTATTGTTTGTATTGGATATGTACTCTTTTACCTTTATTTGGTTTAATTGTATTAATATTCAACCTGTGGCACCATTTCTACATTTACTGTTATTAACAATTAATCTGTGGCAACTTTTTTCAGGAAAATCACAAGGCAAAGAAGCACAAAAAGGAAAAGACGGATGGGGGCAAAAGAGAAAGAAAAGAAAAGGATCGTGCTTATAGGAAAGATAAGCACAAGAAGAAACACAAAAGAGAGAAGCACAAAGATAGGAGAGAGAAGAAAGAACGAGATAAAGACAAAAGACAAAATTTGGAACTGGGAACCCAGAAGAAGGATGATCTTGACAATAGAAGACCCAAACAGACAGTGCATAATGAAGCAGTCAAATATAGCAAACATAAAGATGAGTTGGCTACCCAGATCACAGGCCAAGAAGGTCATGCAAACCGCACCAGGAGTAATACTGGCAAGTTGCTTCCTCGAAGCATCGAGTCCTTTGGTGTTGTAGGTTCTAAAGAGAAGGAACGAACTTCTATCAGTAGAGTGAATGGGAAATCCAGGCAAATTGCTCAGCACAATCATGCCAGTGAAAAGGGAAAGAATAAAACTGGAATCTTGAGTGGTACCAGCCTTCAACTCGGGTCAGCTGAAAAACGTTCTACCAGAATACATGGTAGTAGTGGAGTGGGCCTGCAACAGGATAGCTCTAAAGGTATATTTGTTACTACCACAGCCTCTCAACAGAAGTGCAGAATTACGCCAAGTGCAAATGCTGCGCAGAGAACTGAACAAGTGGACCAACATCCAGATGGTTCTTCTCATTCTGCATATGGAAAAAGTGACAGCGTGAGCACCAAGTGGATGGCAGAGAATAAAAATGGGAATGCCGACAATTTTCATTTCGGGATGGATAAGCAATCGGCAAGAGGCAAAAGTGGAGCAGATCAAGGGATTGCAAAGATTAAGGAGGCAAAAGCTAATCATCAGAAGAGTGTTAAAGATGGAGATAAAAGGCATGGTGTAAATCAGAAGGTTGTTAAAGACACAGATAGAGATTGCAATGTAAGGAAAAGAAAGGCTAAAGATGGTAATGAAGGCAAAACCAGGGAGAAAAGAAGTGCTATAGATGAACAGAAACACAGAGAGCTTGACGGAGATGGGGCAAGCAAGAACTATATTCATGATCTAATGGACTTGGCTCATCTTAATGGGAACAAGTTCACTTCTGATGATTTCAAGAAAAGGAAAGGCTTAAACGCTAACAGTTCTCTACATGGTGAGTTTCTTTACTCATTATGGCGGGGCTGATTTTATATGTGTGTGTTCTCCTTGGAAGCATACGCTTAGATTTAGATAGCCTTGTAGCTATGATTTTGATTTTATTTTAGGCTCACTTCCATAATGTTGGCAGATCATCAAAGTATGCCAATGACTAAGATGCCAAGGACGTCTCCTGCCAATCATCTTTGTGTGAATGGGGAAATGTTGAAGCATTCTCAAGGAACTGCGCCTACATTACCAGTGGGCACAAACCCTCGTGAGGCAGGCATGCTTGAAGATAGCAAGGAATGCATCAAAAATGGCATGACCGGCCTCCTCAACCTAGAGGAACACAATTCTGCAGTCTCTCCATCCAGCTATGGCAGCAGTGAAGTCTCTCTGACGCCAGCTCACCCTGATACCAAGTATCTGAGCCATGTGTACTCCGTACCAGCGGCCGACGACCCCTCAGAGTACATTGATCAAGACTGGCTGTTTTCGGGAGACCGTGTTCACCAGAAAACAACGATGCTTGAGGCCGCAAAAGCACCCCAGGTCTGGGCTGAAGCACAGCTGATCGATTCTGCTGATGTAGTTGCTCTGCCTTATGTTGTTCCTTTGTAATGTGAAACTCCTCCTTCATAGTTTTGGGCTATGATCAGGAAGCGCAGAAGATAGGATTCACTTATTCGTTTTGCTGTCATGCCAGCATGGTTTTGTTGGCGAGATTTCTGGCCACTAAACTGCTAGTGACACTAGTTGAGGTTTTATTGTCTGTAAGGTTGTGCTGCATATCAGATGATACGACGGCCAACGGGCACACTTGAGATTCTGTACATGAAGCGTTTTGATTCAGCGACAAGTGTTGCTCCTGCTGTACCGCCAGACAGTTTGGCGTTTTTCTTTCTTTTGCGAAAAGACAGTTTTGGCGTTGTATTCGTGAATTTTTCACGAAAGAAATGTTTAGAGGCCAAGGAACTCGAAACACGAAAAATGAAGTGTCTCTAAGATCCTGTTATTGTGCTTGAACAAGAGCTTGTTCTGAGTTTTGTGGCCTGTGTTTGTTTGAGTATCCGTTCATTTTTTTTTGAAACTAGGCAAAAGATTTACCATTTTCATTGATTGAGAGAGAAGTTTTAGAGGTTAAGGTGCAAGGCTGAATTACAACAATCACTCTCGCGGCATTATGTTATTCAAATGCCTCGCTCCTTTAATCCTAGCAACGGCGACTCCCACCGGATTGTTACGAAAGATTCGTGCATTCCTCTCTTTTCATAACTCCCAAGAGATGAGCAGCATCAAGAAAGCAAGCGGCCTTCGCGATTGGGTCTTCTTGTTAGCATTGTGGCTCCACCACTCTTTTATGGAAGTCGCATCACTCCAATTGGAAGGATGCACATCATGGAGACCAAGCCAATCTTTGATCATACGCCAAACTCTGATAGTGTATCGGCATTGGAATAGAAGGTAGGTTGTTGACTCCTGAACTTGCTTGCATAGTGGACAAAGATTACAGTTTGGCCACCCACGACGCTGAAGCCTGTCTGCCGTCCAAATCCTATTGTTGATTGCCAGCCATGCGAAGAACTTGCATTTAGGAGATGCCCAAATCTTCCAAACGGTCGGAATCATGGTCGTGTCAGTATGGCCATAAAGCTGCGCTTTGTAGGCCGCCGCCGCCGAGTAGTGGCTGTTAGTAGTGAACTTCCAAGTGATAGTGTCGGGCATGTCAACGTTAAGGTGGACATGGGAGACCCTCTCCCAGAGGGTGACAAACTCAAAGAGATGTTCGACGGTGATGCCCTGAGTAATGTCCACCTAGGAAGTCTAAAAATTGTCGTGCAGAGCCAATCGAACCGAGCAATTCTTCTTCTTCAACAAGCCATATATTTTAGGAACTATGTCCTTGGGCCTAATCCCATCGAGCCAAGGGGACTCCCAAAACTTGGCACGCATGACATCCCCAATTTGGACCTTGGTAGCTGCGGCAAAGATATCTCGGTCATTGTCATCACAAGGGGTTCCCAAGCCAACCCATGGCTTGTCTGGATGAAGCCACTCATCCTACAGCCATCGAAGGCGAAGGGCAGTGGAAAATTTGTCAAGATTTAGGATTCCAAGCCCTCCATGCATCTTGGACTTGCACACTTGCTTCCAGTTTATCTTACATTTTCCACCGATGACCTTCTCACAACCTGCCCAAAGGAAAGCACATCTGAGGGCATCAATTTTCTGCTTGACCTCCACCGGTAAATCTAGCGTCATCATGTAGTAGATAGCAATCGATGTGTCGTATTAGTTTGGCAGTGCCATGGGCATGGTTTATGCTCTGCAGTTTGAGATTCCGAGTTTGCTATTTTAGCATCAAACTGATTGCTAACTCTCTTGTAACAATTCGGTTTAGCCGATGCTAGGTGCCGTCCAACTGGTCGCCCTGCATCCTTTGGATCAGCTGCCCTCCTGACACACAGGATTGCACGGGGTTGTCTCTCTCGCCCTGTTCCTCCCGCGGTTCGTGGTCACGAGCAAGGGGAAAAACAGATACGCCACCACGCGCACACCTAGCTTCACGTCCCACGGCGTCTACGCACCACTCGCCGTCGTGCACCGGCACTCGACGTGCTGGGACATAGCCTAGATGTAGCTAAGCTAAACCTGCTCCCAGACGCCACAATATGCAGCTCTGATGGACCATGGTTCCTGCTCCGCTCGTTTTCGCTACCCCAATCTTTGGCCTGCTCACGGCTCCCGTCGCCGCCACTCGCCATCGTTGGTTCGTCGTGTTTCAACAAAGTCGCCACTGGTTGTAGCTTTTGCGCTTTGCGGATGCAGCAAAAAAAAGTATTCGTCGTGCTTGTGGTCGCCACCGAGGAATATGTTGGTTCCAACAAAATTTGACACCGGTCCTAGCTTTCATTGCGGCGGGTTGTAGCATTTCTAGCCACAGTGAGAGGATTTTCAGCAGTAACATCGAGTCCAACTCAGTAAATTTGCCTATGTGGCAATGAGTTAATGAGAAGAGAGATAGTTTAAGTAACTTAGCTAGTTACTCATACTAGAAGTAACATCACACATACCAATACAATATGAGTTTATAACCTAATAAATAAAGCTTTGCATAACACCATACTTATGTTACTACCCATTACGAAGGTAGTAACATAGTCTAGGGATATGTGTATGTTACTAGTGTATGTTACTCTCCACTGTGGCTAGTCCACGCTTGAGGCGCTGGTTCCAGCAAATTTGGTTGCGGTTTCAATAAATGAAGTTGCTGGTTCCAGTAAACGCAGCCGGCGAAAGCCCTTGTCGTTCCAGCTTCCTTCCATGCCGGTTCCAGCACATGGCACCCATGGATACAACATCTCCCGTGGCTGTTTCCAGCACACAAAAAGGCAGTCGATGCAACATTGCTTCCGCGGTCAATTCCGACATCTTGCAGCACCTGCAGACGGTGAGTGCAACTGTTGTATTCTGACTGCAACTACACAACCCTCAATGCGATTACTCGTGGCGAGAAAGGGATTGTGATGCGGAGCATCCTGTACATCACCATGTCAAGAGCCCGTTCGGCGAGTGACACGTGTGACATCTACTTCACATACACAAAGGTGAATCATCTCCTTTACACGTGCTCACTTGACCCCTTCGAGGATGGTATACTACTTGACACTTCTCCCATGTGCATGCATAGATATTGTCGGAGCTTCACGGATGTTGAGGAGGAGTGCAAGCGCCAAGGAACAACCACATGATCCGCGAGGGAAGCCTGGAAGCGACGACGAAAGAAGACGGAGTTGCTGAAGCTATAGTGGCCGGATATCCGGGCCAGAGGCCGGACATCCGGTGCCTAGGCAGCCACGCAGGAGCTACCCAACAGACAGCCAAAAACATCAGTGGCTGGACATCCGACGCTTCAACAACGGCCAGACATCCGGCATCCTACCTAGAAATCCGGCAACGTCTATCCAGAGAAGGACTGGAACGACATGTCCCAGGCCGGACATCCGGCCTCCCGCGAACGGCCGGACATCCGGCCCCCGACCCGAACATCCGGCGCCTGCGTGCGTGCAGAGTCAGGCCAGAGGCCCATGTATCCCCTCCCCACTTGCCCCTTCGTGGCTTAGACTATATATACTCCTTCCCCATCTCTAGTTAGGGTTAGCAAATATGATAGCTCATTCGTATGTGAGCTTTGCTCCTACCTACCTCTACTCTTGAGAGAGAGAGAGAGAGAGACTACCACTCCCATGGAGTTCACGACCTCCATGTGAGAAGATCCTGCGGGATATCATCAAGACCCCTCACGGGAAGATCCGTCTAGGATATCATCAAGACCTCCTCTTGGTGGTGAACTCTATCTTGTATCTTTCCTTCTGTTGTTCATGTACCTTGTGGATCTTGTGTGTTTGATTGTCTAGTGGATGTGTGATTGGACTTGTTCTTGACTATTTCCCCTTGTGATTTCTCTCCGTTCTTCCACGTGTTCATCGTGTTCTTTGAGGGAATCCACTCCAATCATGAAAGATCGGCCTACACCGGGTTAGCCTTGTATCATATGGTATCATGAGCCAGGTTGATCACGAATTTGGAGTCTTCCCCCTCCATTTCTAGCCTTCTTTTGCTTGATTTCGTCCTGAATTCGAAAATCCCCACCAAAAATAGCCCCAATTTTCTTTTGTGATTTGTTGGTTTGATGATGTTTTGTTGATTTTGATCCACCACGAAGGGGCAAGTGGGGAGGGGATACATGGGTCTCTGGCCCGACTCTGCACGCAGTCTGGCGCCGGATGTTCAGGCCCTGGGATGTCAGCCTTCCTCATTTCATCGTTTTTACCATAACTAATTCATCCGGAGTCCGATTTTGACGTTCTTTAGCTTGTTTTGAAGCTATTGACATCCCCATCGCAGAAAAATAGTTCCACTGTCATTTGACTCCATAAAGTTTTTGGAACTTTGGCATCTTTGCCTAGGGCTTCCACCATATCTTCTACAAAACCACCATAACCTTCCGCAACCTAACCAATTTTGTTCCCCATTCCATTTGTGGTTGTTAGAGTTGTGATTCGAGTCTCCTTAAGTGTTTCGGCTACATAGGGACGGTTGCTTATTCATCAACCACCACCGTAACTTTCGTGTAGGCTTGCCCACCATACACTTCTGCCACCCCAACTTAACCCATTTTCGTTTGAGCTTGTTTGAGTTGGGGTTTGTGTCTCCTAAGGTGTTTCGGCTACTTAGGGACGACCACTTCAACTCTGACTCGCATAACCCATCATTGAGCTTCTGAAACCACTACCACGTTCCCGCTACCACCATTTGACATTTGAGATTTCAAGTTCGTGGTTTTTCCATTTCCTAAGGTGTTTCGGCTAATTAGGGACGGGTCTACATCATCTTGGTATCTACATCAAGAGCACCGCCACTCATCATTGCCACGGGCGGTAACCTCTATATCATCTTGGTATTGGGGTATCCCATCATTGTACATTCTCCTTGACATTGCATTGATAACCCCTAGCCCATTTTGCGGCACTTGCCTATCGAGACTAGCCATTGAGTATTGCCGGCAACGTTACTTGTGCACATTAGTGATCATTGATCTACACCTTCCATCGCATACA